TGCCCGACCGAATCCCAGGACCGGCGTTTCCTTCCGGGCCGCCCCCGGGGGCCAAGAACAGCTGAGCACCTCCCGTGAAGATTCTTTCGCGACTCGAGGGGGTCTGGGCCCCCACCACCCCGCCCCGCCCCTCTCCCTGCCCCCCCCCGCCCCGCCCTATGCGCGGGGGGTCCCGCCGACGAGGTGATCAAAAAGCTGGACGGCGAGGTGCACGACTCCAGGCGAGCAGGGGCCCGCTGCTGCGGAGGAGGGCCGGCGTGCTCTCGCCGCCCCCCTTCGGCCCCCCTTCGGCCCCACGTCCCCGTCACTTCCGCGCGGCTTCGAGGTTCGAGGATTTCGGACGTCTTCGTCGGTTCTCGGCGGCTTCCCAGCCTCCGGGCGCTCTCCAGCAGCCGTGCTTCGCCGACGAGAGCGTTCCGGGAGTGCCCAGATCCTCCTGGACGGCCGCCAGAGACCCGAGCTATGACCCGAGACCCCCTTCTCGAGTCGCAGAAAGAGATCGCGGCGGGCGGTGACTGGCCCTTCTCGGCCTCTGGGCGCCCCTGCCGGGCCCCGGGGCCGCCGCGAGACTGGTCGGCATGGAGAGGGGGGCGACACCTCGGGGGTTCCACGCCGTGGCCAAAGCAGAGAGCACGACGTCGGGGGGTCTGGGCTCCCTCCCGCTCTGCCTCCCTGTCCGTCTGTCCACACCCGTCCCTTCCCGCCCTCCTCCCTCGACGAGAAGAAGAAGAAGAAGAAGAAGAAGAGAAAGAAGAAGAAGAAGAAGGAGAAGAAGCGGCAAGGACAATATTATCGGAGACATGCGCAGATCTCTTGGCTCGGCGCTGGGCCCCGCGGCGCCTCCGGCGCCGCCTGCCGCCGGTCCAAGAAATCCGCGCGGACCTCCGAAAGTTCATGTCTTTGCAGTTTGTTGTTCTTCGATCTCTCCCACACTCCACGCCTCCGGTCCCGCCCTCCTCTCGTCCCTCCTCCGCAAGCGACAGCCTGGAAACATGGGAGTTTTCCACGTGCGTTCCTAGAAAATGTCGGAAACTGCCCTTTGGAGTGCCACCTCGCACCTCATTCGGCAGGGGGGCTTCCGAGGCGATGCTGGATTCCACCCAAGCGGATCCCTGGACTGCGAAGCGGCCGAAGCCGGTGCGCAGCACCGTCTCGCAGGTCAACTCTGCTCTGCCCGCGAGCTCCCACTGCCCAGTTCGAGCGGGCTAGAAGTGGGCTGGATCGCTGTGCGATTCTGCACTCCCTGCTGCCAAGATGCTCGAGGCCGGGGGGAGCAGTGCCCGCGTACGGCTGAGCAGCCGTCCGAGTCCTCGGGCTTCGGGATTACTCAGGCGGGCCAGTGGTGTGGTGGCTGACGTTGGGGGGTCGCACAACCTTTACTCAGGAGGGAAAGAAACACACAGACACAATTAATCGTCGACTCCCGAGAAAATATGGGAAAATATGGGAAGTGAGGGGGAAGACAAAAACCTAGAAAATACGGGAAAATATGGGGAATCTTTTTATTTGTGTGTATTTATTTGTGTGTCCTGGGGCCCCTTCATTTACGAGAGTCACAAGCGTCACTTTGGGCCTCTGCATCGTTTCTAGTTTGTGGCCCCGCGGCCCAACCGTCATGGTCGATCCCCGTACCGTGCTTTTGAGAAGCACTGGTTGCCCCCAGGGTCCCGAAAAACGAATTTGAGTCGGGCAAGACTTTTCCCAAGCCACACAGGCCCCACCTCTCCACCCACCAAACCACCCCAACCCAACCCGAAGGGTCTGATTTACCCTCGATTTCTAGTAGGGGAGGGTCCGGGAACATCGAAAAAACACATGTGGAGCCCATACCCCCCCAACCCGAAATTCGGGTCTTCGGGTTGGGTTGGGGTGGTCTGGTAGGTAGTCACCACCTGCGTGCTGGAGGCAGCTTCCAGCCAGTTCCGGCGCGACCGGGACAGCCGAATGATTCGGGAGCCTTGAGACGGGGGTCAATGCAGACTGGGGTCAGCCAGAGCGCCAGATGTTGCAGGATCTTGCAAAGCCAGAGTTGCGTCGACCCGGGCCAGCGCGCAGGATCCTGACCCGGGCCAGTGGAAGCCCGATGTCTCCCAGAATTCTTCGGGTTCCCCGCCTGTGCGACCTGTGGCGGCAAGGGGCATCGAGGGCTGACTCCTCCTCCCCCTCCTCCTTCCCCTCCTCCTCCTCCTCCTCCTCCTCCTCCTCCTCCTCCTCCTCCTCCTGCTCCTCCCCTTCCCCCACATCCGATGCTTGGCAGGCTTCGCTGGTAGTTGTAGACATGGTGTGGAGGGCATTGCAGCATCTCTTAGCTGGGGGGCGCCGATTCGATTCTTCAAATGGCACATCGCAGGTTTACGTACCCAAGGGCTCTGCTGATAACGATTTGTTTTCCAGTGGCGCAGTTTGCGATCCTGGAGGTCGCCGCATCCTGGTGCTGAGGAATACCGATTGGCAGATTGTGACGGCTACTAGTCATCACTCCTGAAAGGTGATGGCCAAGCAGGGAGGTCCAGAGAGCCAGCGTGGTTTCATCCCTGGGTGGAGTTTCGTTGTGAATGCGGTGGAGGTGGACGTGGCTGCACGCATGTGCGCTTCTCGGCCGACAGGGACCACGAAGTTTCTTCGTCTTTCCCGCTGGACAGTGCCCAGGCGTTCCATTCTCTCCATCAAGGTTGGATGAAGCTGTGTCTCACGAAGCTCGGATGCCCTGTGACCGTCGTGAACTCCATCACCACCCTGTATATGCCGTTCTCTGGCATCGTCCGCACCGCGCGGGATCTGCAGGTCGCGTACTCCGTGGGGTCGAGCATCATTCAGGGGTGCGCGCTGTCCGGCAAACTATTTGCTATTGCCACAGCCCCTTTTGCCGCTGACCTCTTGGTAAGCGTGGACCAGGTGGGTATTGGAATTACCAAATTGTGCACTGACGAAATCGGCGGGGCGGTGATCGCCATCGTATGTCTGCTCGAGGCTGAAGCCCACCAAGTGTGTGTGTGTGTGTTTGATCACCCCGCTTCATGCGGCCTTATGCGACAAGGTTGCCGCTGCTACGACGTCCCGTCTTGCTGATCACGTTCTTGGATCTGCCGCTTTCCAAGTCCTGGCGATGAGTCAGGACCTGGGTTCTTGAATTGGCCCCGCGGTCACGCTATAGCAGCAGTGGGAGGCTCCGCTCGCCAAGGTGGGCGGGAGGATTCGCGGCGATGCTGCTAGCGGTGCTCCAGCCTCGGCGCTGGCGCTTGTGTATAGCGCCCGCATCGTGTCGGTGCTCTCGTACCTCGTCCAGGTCCTTCCGCTGCCACGTGGCGCAGCGAATCGGGAAGTGGGATGCCTTGCGCAGTTTTTCCGTATTCCTCTCAGAGTCTTTCTCCCTCATCAGTGGGCCCAACTCAGTGTCTGGGGCGGCCCTCGAGTACCATCGTGGTTCACGTCGTGCGCGGCTGCTCTTGTCCGTGCCGCCCAGGTCACGTTCTCTGGATATGGTAACGTGTTTGCTGTTATGCGGGCCACTCTGTTTGCTGTTATGCGGGCCTCCCTCTTGGCATGATCGGGAACAGTCGCCTGTACCCTGACTTCTGGGAGTGCCCCTCTTTCGCAGAGTACCTGGAGCGCGCGGCATCCGCCTCTGGTTCTATTTGGGGCTACTCGCAGGAAATGCGCGCGGCTAGAAACCAGGCTGTTTCCGATACGCAACTGGATTTTGCGTTGCAGGCATGTCGCCCGAAACTCCAACGAGTTGCGCTGCAAGCCGTGGACCGCCTGGAGTCGATCAGAGACCCACGTCAGCAGCGCTTCGCGGCACAGCTGTCGAAGTGATGGCCCAGGCGGCGGCAGATATTCTTAGACGTCCACTGGGATGAACTACAGGCCATGTGGAAGCACTGTCCGGTATCCTGGGCGTGGCATGTTTTACGCACTCTAGCTCCTGGGTCGTGCACTTCTTTTCAGAATCCTGCGCGCAGGAGGCCGCGAGCGATGCATATGGCAGCGCAGCTCGCGAATGTCTGAGCCATTATGCTGGATGGCATCGACTTCGGTCTGCTTGTGAAGATGCTCTTGGTATTAGGGGCCCACCGAGACTGGTGGACTCCTGAGGGCTGGCCACGAAGAGCTGGTCTCGCGGATCAAGGCTGCTTAACGAGCTCTGACATTGGCGACACCGATCTCGCGGGCCCTTCATCAGCTTGCTGCCGACCCATTGTGGCGACGCCGCGCCGCGCCAGCATCTGGCGACCCCAATGTCTCTACAGACGGTTGCGACGCTGAGCCTGTAGACGTAGGGCCTCTCGACGAACCCATGCCGCTCACGTCCTCGGTGTTCTCGGTTGTCGATCCCGTTCCTTGGTTGCTCTCGATCGGTTGACCGCGACAGTCGCGCGGGTTCTTGTCTCGATGATTCGTGCAGCCCGCGTTTGACACCTCAGTTGCGCCGCTTCCCAAGTGGTTCGCCCCCGTCGATTCCTACAGCGACGCTGCCATGGTCACCGACGGCACCGACGACCAGCAGGACCCCTCCGACGGTGTTAGCGACGCCTTCAGCTGCCTCGTTCCCGACATCTCTTCTACGGTGCTTGCCACGCCGCCATCGCGCGCAAGATCTTCGCGAGCACGGCCCGACCCACGCTGTCCGCAGCCCAGCCTCTGGACTTTGAGGACGCGGTTGGAGACGATGCTATGTTTTTCTTCCAACTGTCATCCAGACAGCTGAACAGGATGCTCGCGTTTTGCGGCCGCCTCCCAACCAGTCTGAGGCGCTGATCGCTCCGGCAGGCGCGCCAGCCGAGTAGGTGGGAATGGACGGACCTCTGGACATGCTGGCCCTCCTCTTCCTCTTCCCCCCCCCCTCCTCCTCCTCCCGGAGAGCCCATGGATTCTGACTGGAGGCTGGAATGACGCCCCAGCCGAGTGGGCAAAGACGTCATGGAGCATAGCCAAGCTGGGCGGCCAGATCTGCATGCCTGACAACGGCCGCGGCCACTTGCAATCGGGGAGCTGGCAGCCCAATCGACAACGCCATCGCCAAGGACGGGCTCTCTCACAGCATTCGCGCGCCCATTGTCGCAGAGGTTCCGTGGAAGACGCACGCGGGCATCGTAGTCAGGATAGAGTCGGGCAAGAAGTCTCGGTGGCACCGCTCTCTGGCCACGGCTCGGGCTGCCCTCTGAGCCGAGGACGTCGCGGGCACTTGGCCCTGACAGCAGGAGGCAGAAGGGGTTAGCGTGGGCCAGGGAACGTCGCAGGCGCAACCTCGAGGAGCACATACAGGAGGCCCACGATGACCTGACTCAACCGCTTACCCTGGACACGCCCATCTCTTCGACCCCTCTGCTGCATCCCCGTCGAGCGCTGGCAGGAGGCCATGTGCAACACATACCGTCATCAGTCTGATGGTAGGCCCCATTTTTTTGCTGGACAGGGACCCTGACATTCGGATTTCGATTTCCAGTCAATACGGTCGTTGGGCCCAGGCGGTCGAGGACGCCACTATCGGTCACCATTCGATTTCCAACGAGAACGCCAAGCAGCACCCAGGGCGAGCTCGTGGATACGCCTTGGAGCGGAAGCAAGCGCGCACTACCCCTGATCGCCCCCAACACGCGTGACGCGCACCTTGAATGGTGGGACATACGCACGGCACTTCTCACCCGAGTGTCTGTACTTCGTAGTCGCGCTGATCGCGAGCTGCCCGACCTCGTCACTTGACACGCGAAGGTCCATGAGCTCATGGACGTGGGGTTAGACACGGAGCTCCAGAAGCAGTTCGGCGAGGACCATGAGTTCGTGCTCTGGGTCGCCGCGGTCCGCCAGATTGATACCATCTCCCAGGACGAGCTGGAAGAGGTGATCCACCGCGCTGAGACCTTCAAGTGCCGCGCTATAGGCCTCGCGATGGCCAGGGCGCGCAAAGGCTTCCAGTCGTGGGCCACCTAGATGTGGCAGCAGTCTCCTGGCTTTGCACATCGTTTCGTGAAAGGTGCCCCTGACAGACTGGGTGAGATGGTTTCGGGCTCTCGTGTGCACGCCACGCCTGATGGGATTATGGGCAAGCGTGCTGATGATTGGGCATCGATATTGTCGGATCCTAGAATGTCTCCGCGCAAGGTCGCGACTGGCCTTAACTACGTTCTCTCCAGGACTGCCAACGACGACCTGGGGCCCGTATCCATGTCCAGGCTGGATTTTGTGATCAGGGCCATGAATGCCAAGAAGGCCAAGGGCGTGGACAACACGGGGCCAGTAGAGGTCCAGAGGTTGCTTGGCGCCGCCAAGTTCGAGCTGCTCGATCTCATGGTTGGCATCGAGCGCCGCGGCATGTGGCCCGAGCAGCCCTTCATGGCGGTGTCCGCGGTCGCCCCTAAGCCAAGGGGGGGCGATCGTACCTAGGGCCTGCTGCCCTTGTCTGGCTAAGCTGTGGAGCAAGATGAGGAGTGCCGGCTCTCTGTCGTGGGTGGTTGGTGCTGACGAACATCGGGACACGGCCACACGAGCGCCGTCGGCGCTGCAAGCCGCTTTTCATCCGCCCTCTCATGGACGAGACCTGCAAGGAGATGCAGATCTCTACTGCGACTATCTCATTGGACCTGGAGCAGTTTTACGACGGCATCTCCATCGCGTTGATGTGCGCGGCTGGGATTATGCAGGGCTTCCCCGCCATCATCTTGGCTCTGGAGCTCCAGCTGCCCCTGGCACCTAGGCATTAGAAGGATAGAGCGCGGCTGAGCAAGGCCATCCAGCCAGAGAAGAGTCTCGTGCCAGGCTCACTTCATGGAGGTCGTCTGGCTACGGCTTTCCTTGGGCCCATCCTTGCTCGGGCTCACTCTCGATATGGGATGAGCATCCTCCTGCGCACTTTCGTCGGCGACGCGGCGGTCCGAGCTGAGGGCGCCGAGAAGCGAGTCGGCGAGATTATGATTGATGATGAATCTTTCTTGGGGCGCAGTTCAAGGCGGCGGGTTTGATGGCGAGCCCCAGAACGATCGTTGTTGCGTCCTCTTTGAAGCTGGCCGCGCATACTTCGCCTAGTCTTCAGCGCGCTGGCGCCCCTGCCGAAGCCGCCCGACACGCCGTCGACATGGGGCGGACACCTCGGCGGGAAAGCGCCGCTCGGGGCACGAGGCCAGGGACCGCTTCACGGAGGCGAAGAAGCGCTCCAAGGCCATCAAGCGCATGCGTCGGCACGCCCGCCTGCGCGCCATCACCCGCTTCCCGCGGCCCACGGGTGCGAAGCCGCAGGGCACCTACTCGCACCAGACCTTCGGAGCCCCAGGCTACGAGTTGGTGCAGCTACGGAGGCAGGCCGCTCAATCTGCGTTCGGGACTGGACCAGGCAAGTGCTTGACGACGTCACTTGCTGCTGTGCACGATCGGCGGGACCCAGCGAAGACTATCCGTCGCGAGCAGACATTGGCTTGGCTCAAGATATGGCGTGAATGCCCTGACCTGCACCATCGAGTGGCAAGGACTTGGGAGTGCATTCGTTCACGTCTCCGTCTTGCGGGCTCTCGGCGATGGGGGATCGTCAAGGGGCCCATCGCGTCGACGATCGCCGCTTTGCTTGACGTCGGCTGGGACCCGCGCAGCCCCATGGAGTGGATGTCAGACCAGGGCGTGCTTTGGCGCACACCTTCGATCGTGGACGCCGGGTTCGACTCTCCACGGCGACTTCACAGACATCCTGGACGACGCCGAGGATCCCGTGGACCGCCAGCCCTGGGCCACGGCCTCGCTGCACGATGCTGGCGCTGACCTCCGCGACGGCGCCGACATGTACCAGGTCTGCCGCGAGTTCCGCGGGCTCGAGCAGCCCGACGGCGATATTGACCACTGGGCGCTGAACGCCGTGGTCGCGGCTGGCGGGCAGTGGCCCCGCGGGCGCCAGCGCGCCGCGGGCTATGCCCTCTCGCCCACGTGCCAGCGCTGTCTCAGGGAGCCCGAGGATCTTGTCGATCGGGCTTGGAGCTGCGAGGCCAACAGAGGCCACAAAGATTGTGATGACAGCGAGCACCTCATCGAGCAGGCTCGCGTGAGCCAGCACTGCTGCCCCAGTTGTTGGTTGCGCGGAGTTCCCGGCCGAGCTGAAACGGTCCCCAGGTTCGAGGACAAACCACCCACCCGCCTGTCTTTTGGCTCCCTTGATGCGTGATTCCGAAGGTTACGTCACCTTGTTCGGGGATGGGTCGGGTGGGAGGTTCTCGGACGACCCTCGGCGTCGACGGGTCGGCACAGGGCTTGTTGGCCTGGCTCCTTCTGGCGAGTATTGGGAGCTTGCCTGGGGCATTGGTTGTTCGATCGAGGGCCGAAGGCTAACTGTGCCTAGAGCGGAGATAACGGCGCTTGCGGAGGCGTTGGAGCCCACGGTCAGAGGTCTCCGGTTTGTTACTGATCATCGCCCTCTGCTGGACTCCTGGGCCAAAGGTCTCGGCTCGTGCGCGGTGCCTGGGAGCGGTCAAAACCTCGACCTTTGGGGCCAGGATTCAGAAGGCGGTGGAGGCTCGTGGCCCTGGCGCCGTTAAGTCGATTTGGGTCCCGTCTCATCAATAGAATCTGACTTCTTCCCGTCAAGACATGTATCTAGCTTTCGGCCATGAGTGCGCCGATGCCTTGGCTGCTGAATCGGCCGAGCGGGCATGGGCGGAATTCGTGATTGCCCCCATCCCCTTCACGGACCGACGCGACGCGGAGGCCGCCTTTGAGCGGAGGACAGCGAGGCGTGCCCTGGCGGCGAGCATCCAGGCCGACCCATGGACCTCCGAGCGCCCCGACCGTGAGGGGGCCCCTCCCCTCCCCAGGCTTGCGCAGGCTTTGCAGTCGTCCGAGCACTGTTGGGGTCGCGCTGGTGCCAAGTACTTCTGTCGCATATGCAACGTGTTTTCGAATCAGGATTCGATGTTTCAGATGTGTGCTACGCGTTGTGGTTCTCAGAGCTCCTCCGAGTTTTCGCCGCTTCGGGGTATCCAGGTTGTTGGGGAAAAGGAGCTCCACGGGTTTCACACGCTGCAGTATTGGAGAAGATATAAGCACACTTGCTGCCCGGTCTGCGGCAAGAGTTGTACCACAGACCCCCGCCAACTGATTAAGATGTGCGAGCCGTCCCCGAAGGGACGGCAAAATCTTGCCACAATTCGAGCTGGCAAGTCCCCCCACCCGTCTGGACCTCCAAAGGCTGTCCGAGATGCTGAGTCTCAGGGGCTCTTGAATTCAAACCGTATGCAGAAGCCATAGTGCAGTTTCTGTTCGTACTGTCTCCTGCTATTCGTGTGGCTTCGCCATTCCGAACCCTACACTTCTGCTGTCTTCATTCTGAAACGTCCTGAAACGCCCTCCTGCTCCTCCCCGTCCCCGTCCTCCTCCTCCTCCTCCTTCTCCTCGTCCTCCTTCCTCCTCCTCCTCCTCCTCTTTCTCCTTTTCCTCCTCCTCCTCCTAATTCTTCCTCGTCCTCCTCCTCCTCCTCTTCCTCCTCCTCCTCCTCCTCCTCCTCCTCCTCCTCCCCCACCTCCTCCTCCTCCTCCTCTTCCTCCTCCTCCTCATTCTCACTCCTGCTGTGGGGGGGGGGGGGGCAGCTCCGCAGACGAGCGTGCCAGCTGGAGCATCCAGCGGCGGAGGTGGCGCGCACTCGTCATATTCGTGCCACTGAAAAAGTAGTTAAACAATTTACGTCAGATCGAAGGCAACAACTGCTCAAGCATACATGCTCGGAGGTTCTCGCGGACCTCCGCAAGCTTATGTGCGTGCGTGTGTGTGTGTGTGTGTGTGTCGATTCGTCGCCTGCTATTGTACACATGTTTGTCGTCGGCGGCGAGGCAGAGGCGATCCGCATGGCGAACGCTATTGAACACATGCGTAATATGTATGTGTATGTACGTTTACATGCGTGTGTATTCCCCAAACAGTGCTTTCACTTAGGGCTTCTTACTTCTGGTCTAAAGAATTGTACCGTGTGGGCGGATATGTTCCTGCCGTCGCCGCCCCGTCGCCGCCTCGGCGCCGCCCGTCGTTTGGGCCGTGCGGGCGGACTATATTCCTGCCGTCGCCGCCTCGTCGTCGCCCGTAGTTTGGGCCGCGTGGGCGGTTTGGCGGCCATGTTGCCGCCGTCGCCGCCCCGTCGCCGTCTCGTCGCCGCCCGTCGCCGCCCTTGGATTGGACCACATGTTTTCGGCGAGAAACGCGCCTGTGGCGCTCTTGCTGATCGTTCACAAGATAGATTGCACCACATAGATAGGATCACCTACGTTACACCAGATAGGTTGCACAACATATATATCTATATGTATATATATATGTCTATCAACACATCTATATGTATGTATTCCCTTTTCTTAATAAGATTTCGGAACCACCCCCACCCCCCACCCCCCCCCCCCCCCTCGGGTTTATCGGTCCACCCTTTCGTATTGCAATTTGCATGTGGTTCTGGCCCATCGTCCATCCGAAATTTGGATTTTCACTATCCCAGGGGGGGCGGTATCGACCCCCCCCCCGCCATCCTCTGCAAAAAATACTGCACGCACATTCGTTTATAAAAAACATCAGTTGTCAAGAACCCCTTGCGGAAAATTGGACGAACTGCGCACGCACGCGTCGTCGCGCGCGCATGACGAAATCCTTCAAAAATATTCGGTTTCGAAAGGAAGTCAAAACCGAGTGCCCAAAAAACATATAAACACACATCGCTTCGCAAAACGGACTTTCAAACGAAACACACACACACACACACAAAAAAAAAAAAACACGCGCTCGCGTTATTGCGAATTCTTAAGTGAACCATAGGTTCTTCAACTGTTTCAGAAAATACTACCAAACGGGCCTCGCGCGCGCATGTCGAAATCGTTCGAACGTCTTTGCGCGCGTGCCGTCGCGAGAATCCTTTCCAGAAAAAACGGGACGATGTGCACACGCGCGCGTCGTCGCGCGCGCATGTTGAAATCCTTCAAAAACCCCCACTGTCGTAATGATGCCAAAACCGATTTTTAAACAAAAACAACAAAAAACAAAAACAAAAAACAAAAAAAACAAAAAAAACGCAACATCAGTGAAAAAAAAAACTTGCGGGCGCGATCTTGTGAATTATTGAGAAACCGTAGGCGTTTCAACACCTCCATGGATTTCTGCCAAATGGGCCTCTGGCGCCGCATGCCGACATCATTCGCACGCCCTTGCGCGCGTGCTGGGGGGGGCACGATCCGTGTCAAAGAAAACCATGCGGGCCACTTTCGCGCGTCGGCCGCGCGCGCATATCGAACTCTGCCCAAAACCTTCATAACCGGTGCGAGGACGCCGTCATCGTCTTCGGCGTGATCTGCATCGGCGCCCGCACTGGCCGCGCCTTCGTCGGTGCGAGCATCGTCACCAGCATCGCCACTATCATCATCGCGCCCGCCCAAGTCGCCGACTCGCACTGAAGTGCCCGCTGGGATGCGCCCAGCGGTCAGCGCCACCGCGGCCGCGTTGGAGGCGCCAAACTAGCTGCCCGCTGCGCGCGCGTGCTAGGATTGGCGAGGCCGCAGAAATGCACCAGCCAACGCCAAGCATGCATCGCAATCGCCACCGCATGGGCTTTGCAAGCCCAGTTGCGGGTGGGTGGGTGGGGCGGTTGCAAGAGCATGGGATGTGTCAACGCATGAGTAGAGTTCAATTGCACCGCATAGATTGCACAACACATATTGCACAATTGCACAACGACATCGGTTGCATAACAAGTACTGCACAACGTAGACTGCACAACATGTATTGCACCGCACAGATTGCACCACACTGACTGCACCATATGGTTTGCCCCACATCGTTTGTAGCACACTTGCACGTTGTATTGTGTGCGCTGGCGGCGCCCTGTTTGATCGTTCGCAGCATGTGCTGTTATACGTATGTGGTGCACAACACATGTTGCACCACACATTGCATAACATATAACAAACAGCATGTATTGCATCACAGAGAATGAACGACATCTATCGCGAAACATCGGCAGCAGCACATCGACTGCACAACACGCATTGCACAACATGTGTTGCTAGACATACTGCTTGGGGTGGGGCAGGTGGTAGCAGGCATGCATGGGAATCTGTATGTATAAACGCGTGAATGCGTACATGTACACAACCCGATGCTTGGCATGTACATTTGTGTTTGCGAGCATATGCACAGTTACGTATACACGTATATAAGCCAGTTTGTCCTCCTCCTCTGCCACCTCCCTCCGCCCCCCGCGGCCCGAGGCAGCTCCACGTGTTCGCCGCCGAGCTGGTGGAGAGGTACGGCCACGCGCCGGGCAGGAGGAAGGCGGGCGGCCCGCCCATTTGGGAGAGGGGCGGCTCAGGGAGGAGGCGTTCCGCTCCCTCCTCCGCCTCCTCCTCCTCCTCCTCTTCCTCCTCCTCTTCCTCTTCCTTTCCCTCCTCCTCCTCCGCCTCCTCCTCCTCCTCCTCCTCCTTCTGCTCCTCCTCAAGCCATTTGGGGCGCGAGCGGTTGCAGGATAGGCGCGAGGGGATTCTCTCTTTCATTCACCTCATCACAGACCGCCCGCGGCTGCCTCGGTTCCACGCAGCGCTTGAGGGGCGCCGCACCGCCCGCTCATTCGGAGCAGGCTCTTACGTCGGCTAAACAAGGCATCATGACAGTAACTGACAAAGTATGGTCTCAGTGCAGTGGCGGTGGGGCTTTTGAATAGAACGGAAAGCTCCTTCAACGTGATCGAAGGTGTTATAAATCTAATCGCCAGGTGAAATTGGAACGCCACCTTCGAGAATGATCGTATGGCTGACACTTCCGATGGTGGCAAGCCCAAGTCCATCCTCAAGGCCGACACGTATGTCACGTCACTCTTGGCCACAGCTATTTCTGTTGCGACGGACCCCTCCCTGGCGGCGACGCTCGCGGCCGAGCTGGCCAAGTTGGAGGCGCAGGTTTCGGAGCCCACAGTCGAGAAGGCCAGCAAAGCGGATTCGGCGCTTAGGGACGCAGAGACCAAACACGACCAGGCGGTCAAGGCGGTCGTTCGCCTGAAATGGGGATTGGAGCAGGCTGAGGCCAAGGAAACCGCGGCGGCTTGGGCCCTAGTCCACGCCACGGCGGCGAAGAAGGAGGCGGTCCAGCTCCTGGCGGCGAGCGAGGGCGTGGGTGCAGTCCCGTCCGAGGCTCACGAGCGCGACGGCACCCGACCCAACGTGTCCTGGGACGAGGAGCTCCTCGACGACATGTAAGGTTTCGAGGAGGCTGGGAAGCAGACGATGATGCAGCTGAAACGGGAGTTCGAGGGCGTGAGTTGCTGGGATCACGGGAGGGAGCTGACCAAGGAGTGGTTCGGAAAGGCCGCAGGTGTCAAGGCTATGGTCACAGAGCGGCTCAGCAAGACGAGGCGCGCGGACACCGACCAGACGGCCAACGAGACGGCCACACGCGGTGCTTCAGCGCAATCCGGCTGAACCATAGCTGAGGGTGTTCGTGGCGCTGACGACAATGAGAGCATCCAGATAAAGCAGGCGCCCGAGGCGGCGGTGAAGGAGGAAGCTGCCAAGATCTCCGAAGCGAAGATTGCTGCGGAGACGGCGAAGGCGGCTACCCGCTAATCCACCGCGGCGAAAGGGAGCAAGGCAAACGGTGACGGCGAGGCTGTCTCGCCAACCCAGGCCACTGCGCGATCTTCAGCCGAACTGTCCGGGGCACTTGGCGGGCTCTCCCAGCAAAGGTGGTTATCGGCAGTTTGCCTTACTAAACATCTGCTTCCACGGCGTCGTCACATACCAAGCTGTGGCGCTCTGCAAGTGTTGGGGCTTCGTCCAGTACGCGGGCTTCGTCGAGGGGATCGGCTAGGTCGCGGAGCTCGAGGGCGAGCCCGGCCACTACGGCTGCCACCTCATCTTCTCCTTCCACTCCTTCCCCGCCTGCATGCTCGGACTCCAGAGCGGCTTCGGCACCGGTGCTATTTTGGCTCGGGAAGAGAAGCTTGAGCCAGTGAAGGGCGGCGAAGAGATCTCCACATTCGTTTTTTCGTGTTCGTCAACACCCATGTGGGGCCAGCGGGCCCTCGTAAGTACAACCTCGAGGCTAGGAAAATGGGCCTCCAGGCGTTCGCCACGGCAGCTCGACCATCCAAGGCAGCGAACGCGATTTCGATGGCGTCCGAGAGCGGACGTTTTAATGAAGGAGGGGAGTGGGCTCTCACTCGAGGACACCATCAGGTTCATTCCCTGGCGATGGCGGAGACGGCAGCGCTGCAGCACGACCAGGTATCCATGGCAGACGGCTTCAGGGTGACAGTGGTCCACATAAAGGTCTTACGTCTTTGCCTTGATCGCCTTCTACGGCCACTGTAGCATTGGATCTATTGGCGCTAACGTCGGGCGGTATCGCAAGTTTGGTGGTCTTCTTTTGTCGTTGCTGATTCCGTGGGTTGTAGTCGCAGACTTCAACGCCAGCGCAGCCGCGCTGGCCGAGTCAGATTTCGCCAGTCGAGCCGGCGGCCACATCCTCACGGCAAATCTGCAGCACGCGTGCAAAGCAGGGGCTCAGGGCTCGCACCTCGATTACGATTCGCGTGTTCTTTCAGTTATTTGTTTTATCTGTCGGTCCAGCCCTTGATTGCAGTACCCTGGTAGACTCACGCGGGCCCGGCGGCGCAGTTTCGACAGACGGGAGCACAGCTTACAACGCGAGTGTCATCGCCAGTGTCCCGACCAGGACAAGAGCCAGATCCGCAGTCCAAAAAAGCCAGTCGACCTCGGCAGCAGCAAGCCATCAAGAGTCAGAACGCTGCTATCGCCAGATGTGAGCACTACTGCAGCATGTTCAGTGACGCCACGCATTTCCTGTGCAAGGAAAAGAAGAACCCCCCTGGACCAGCAAGCGAGCTGGGCGAGCAGCGCGAGCCTGCCCGCACCAGCGTGGATCTCGACGAGGCCTCCTCTTGCTTGAGGAGGACCCCTGGACCAACGAGCTTACTTTCTGCCTGCTCCTGCTCCTGCTCCTCCTCCTCCTCCTCCTCCTCCTCCTCCTCCTCCTCCTCCTCCTCCTCCTCCTCCTCCTCCCCATTGCCTTTGTCCGTGGAGACGAGGCGCCGACGTCGATGGGCGTTGGCTCTGAAGCTGGCTCTCGCCCACGGGCGGAGGCCGGTGGAAGCGCTGGGCCCCCGGGGGCTGCGCGGGAGCCGCGCGGTCGCGGTGGGCCGTCGGGCGCTCCCGCGGCGTCGCGGGAGCCGTCGAGTGGGCAGTCTAGCTGCCTCCTCCTCCTCCTCCTCCTCCTCTCCCCCCTCCTCCTCCTCCTCCTCCTCCTCCTCCTCCTCCTCCTCCTCCTCCTCCTCCTCCTCCTCCTCCTCCTCCTCTTCCTCCTCTCTCCTCTCTCCTCTCTGGTCTCTCCTCTCTCCTCTCTCCTCCTCCTCCCCGGTCACAAGGCTGACCCCTCGCACGCCATCCCTGTCTGCGCGGGGGAGGCCCAGCGTGCCTCTGCAGGTTGCTGTCTCTACCCACCCTCTTCCCTCCCTTCGTGATGGTCGGGCGGAGTGGTGCGCTTGCCTCGTGATGTTCTAGCGGAGTGGTGGACTCGCCTCCACGCTGTCTCGGGACCCCCTGCTCGTCCCTTCGGAGAGCGTTCGTCACGGCGGCCAGGCACGCGTCCAACCTCGGGGTTGACTCGGGCGGGGGACGCAGGCATGTCAGAGCAGAACGCGGGAGAAGGAGGGCCAAGCACTTGGCCCGCAACAAGACAGTTGTCAAGTACGCGCGGACGCTGGTCACAGCTCACCTCACGGCTCGAACGTCAACGTGCGCAGGCGGCCGGGGGCCACGGTCACCAGGCGCCCGGAGTGATGGGATAGGAGCCGGTCAACTATAGGCGTCGGTTGGGGGCGGCTTGTAACTCGGAGACGAAGGGCAGGTGCCTCACGACCCTGCTGGAGTTCGAAGCGAGTGGACAAGACCCAACTGCTCGATTCACGTACCACACCTTCTCAGCGTGGCTTCGACAGTGGCAGGCGCATCGCGGACCCGCGCCAGCATCCGCAGTGCATGGCCCAAACTTCGTGAAAAGCTGGAGGCGGTCCCTGCTGAACAACGGTCCTGACACGTTCGAGGGCCCATGGGTGCAAGCCACGTTCATCTACGCGATTTCCACTAGGCGCCGAGACCGCCGACAGCCTGGAACCCCCCTGGAGAGAGCAGCTGGGGATCCCGGCTCGAATTTCACAGGGATTGAGGCTATCGGGTTCGCTCGTTCCTCTGAGTTTCTAGAGCAGACATGGCCCCGTTTTGGAAAGGGGCCGGTCAGCACTTTGACGGAGATGGGCTCAAGGACGGAGTGGGCAGTTTTTCGCATCATCGGTTCTTTCAGCAGTTGGCCCATGTTCGTCCTGTTGGGAAGCGGCTCGCAAGTGCCTTTCTTTCCGTCACCGCCGGCGGCTCGTGGGCCACAGCGCGAAAAGCGGAGTTGTATCCTATGTTGGCGGCAGCAGCGAATTCCACAGTTTGGTTCGATTTGCGTGACCGATGCGGCGAACTCAGGGAGATGTCTCATCACAGGTTATGGGCTTGTCTTGTGGGCATTGCAGCCATCAGTCAGTCTAGGCCAGTCGTTGTGGATCGTTTTGTTGTTGGTGGGTTGGCGGGCCCCCGCCAAACGGTGGCCCGTGGCGAGTTGAGGACGCTGTGGCTCGCAGTATCTGCAGCCAATGGGATCACGGTCCCCAACGCTGATTGCATGTCTGTCGTCGGTGGATGGACCACAGAGACGCATCTCAACCCTGTTGGAGTTGACGCGGAAATCCGGGCCCAGATCGGAGTTTTATTCTCAAGGAGAAGAATCTCAACGCGATACGAGTATGTTTTGTCCACTCGCACATCGACGGGGACGCGATCCTAGACGGCAGCGCGGAGTTGCGGCAAGTTCAAGGTAGCACGGTCGTCGACATTGTTGTGGGACGCTGTCGGCCAACATCGGCGACACGAGGCCGAGTGACAAGCGTACCTTGTATGGCATCGGCTGCCACGTGCGATTCTCGAGTGTTTCCAGGCGGGAGGCTCCGAGGGGGAATGAGGCCCCTTCTCCTCCTCTTCCTCCTCCTCCTCCTCCTCCATCGCCCTCCCGCGGCGTCTATCGCGGCCAACTGTCACCAGTCATTATTTAGACGAAGGTGGCCTCAGCTGCCTGATGTGTTTTGGAACAGCTACGCTGGCCACGGTTAGCCAGTGGAAAGCGAGTCCGCGCTTCAACCCTTGGTTCTAATTGGTCGGTATCACACTAAGGTTACCAGTGGTAGGATCCATTTAGCTGGGGGCTGTAAGCCATGTAGATTGCGTGCCACACCGACGGGGGTAGAGCATTTGAACCGAATCGACCGAAGCTGATGGTCCAAAGTCCGAAGCACGGCTGCGTTGGCCACCCGTCAGAGGTGTGTACGGTTCTCCCCAATGTGCAAGGCGATTTTCCATTTAGTGAACTGTCATACCCATTCCTTCCTCCACCACCTCCACCTCCTCCTGCTCCTCCTCCTCCTCCTCCTCCTCCGCCTCCTCATCCTCCTTCTCGTCCTCCTCCTCCTCCTCCTCCTCCCTCCTCTCCTCCTCCTCCTCCCTCTCCTCCTCCTCCTTCTCCTCTCCTCCTCCCTCCTCCTCCTCCTCCCTCCTCTCCTCCTCCTCCTCCTCCTCCTCCTCCTCCTCCTCCTCCTCCTCCTCTGCCAAGGTTCATTTGTTGTTGCAGCTTCTCCGAGCCGCCCGAGCCCCTCCCCCGAAGAGGAGCGGCTGTCGGGAGACGGGCCCGAGGTGGCCCGCCCGCCCCGCAGAATGGGCTCGCCTACTTTAGTTCCGCATTTCGGGGCCGCCTTCCTTCTCATCCTCATCCGTTCTCCCGTTCCTCCTCCTCCTCCTCCTCCTCTCCTCCATCTCCTCCTCCTCTCCTCCTCTCCTCCTCCTCCTCCTCCCTCCTCCTCCTCTCTCCTCCTCCTCCTCCTCCTCCTCCTTCCTCCTCCTGCCTCCTCCTCCTCCTCCTCCTTCCTCCTCCTCCACCTCCTCCTCCCTCTCCTCCTCCTCCTCCTCCTCCTCCTCCTCCTCCGCATGTTCTCCTCATAATTATTCGTTTCTCCATACCCTCCCCCCGCAGCCTCCCCGCTCCTCCTCGTCCTCCCCATCCTCCCACAGGTGTTCGAGGCCGGAGCCCGGCGAGGGTCGGGGTCCTGAGGGGGCCCGCTCGTTCGCCCCAGGACTCCACTCGGCACGGCGCTTCTCGGGCGGGGTCCGGCGTGCCAAGGTGTTGCCCTCGAGGGTCGAGGGGGGGATGTTTTCGAGCGTGGTTGGGACCTCGTCGGGCCTCCAGAGGCCAGAGGCCTTCGGGGGACCTCCCTCCTCCCCACTGCGTGGAGAAACATGAAGACGGAAGGTGTGTGGACCATCTTCAGGTTCCTCTTCCTCCTCCTCATCCTCCTCCTCCTCCTCCTGCTCGTTATCATATTTCTCCGTATCGTCAGCATCAGCATCACCAGCATAAGCATCATCATCATCATCATCATCAGCAGCAGCAGCAGCAGCATCAGCATCAGCATCAGCATCAGCATCAGCATCATCATCATCATCATCATCATCATCATCATCATCATCATCATCATCATCATCATCATCATCATCGTCATCGTCATCGTCATCGTCATCATCATCGTCATCCTCATCAGCAGCATCATCATCGGCATCATCAGCATCATCATCATCGACATCATAGTCGGCATCATCATCAGCATCATCAGCATCGGCATCATTGTCAGCATCAGCATAATCGTCATAATCAGTATTTCGCCGTTTTGCCCATGGAGCGCGTGGGAGTATCAAATCGTACGGTACTACTGGATGGAACACGGTCTAGATTGGATGATGCTGGCCAGAGATAAGAAAGCGTGGAGACGATCCGAGAGTGATTTTGTAGAGTGGCGGCTAGGCGATACGGCGTCGAAGGCCGTCTCTGCTTCGAGGTAGCTTAGCAGGCGAACGATGCGGACTGCTGGGCCTCCAGGCCACTTAGAGCAGGTAACAACAACAACAACAACAACAACAACAACAACAACAACAACAGCAGCAGCAGCAGCAGCAACAACAACAGCATCATCAGCATCATCAGCATCAGCTTCATCAGCAGCAGCAGCATCTTCTTCATCATCCATCCCTTTGCACAATAAGTAAGTCATCCCTGTCTCACCCCAGGCGTGTCAGTAGGGCGGGCGTTTCGCTTGAGACTTCCTCAGCACGTATGATCTTGAAGCGTCAAAGCTGCAACAGCTTCACGGATGGAGGGCGGTTGCTTTTCAGAATGTAGTTATTGCTTCAGTACCGCGGTCATTCGTTTCAACAGTTCGCGTGTAGCTTCACGGATGGAGGGCGGGTTTGTTTCAGAATGTGGTTCTCGGCATTTCGCCGCGCACATTCGTTTGGAAATATTGCAGCAGTTTCAAGGGTGTAGGGTGGTTCTTGTTCAAAATGCGGTTCTCGCTTAAGCGCCGCGCACATTCTTCTTACATGGTCGCAACAGCTCCAAGGATGTAGGGCGGTTCATGTTCTAAATGCGGTTCTCGCTTAAGCGCCGCGCACCTTCGCTTTAACAGCTTGAGGTGATGTCTAACAGTCCGCCGCATTCGAAATCCTAGGAATGGTGCTGTAGCGCGGTCAAGGATGATCTGACAATTGTCTTCTAATGGGCCACTTCACGCAATGAAAATGAATTCTGGCGGGGCCCATGAAGAGGGAGCTTGGAGGAACGCTGCATTGCAACATCATTGATGCGCCTTGGGCTTACACTCCACCTCCTCCTCCTCATCCTCATCATCATCAGCAGCACCAGCATCATCATGATCATCAGTATCCTCCCCCTCCTCATCCCATCTCTTCCTGTCTGACCCATCTCTTTGCCCTCCTGCTCCTCCTTCCTCTCGCCATCGTCGTCATCAGTAACTTCCTCCCGCATGCTCATATTCGTCCTCCTCGTCTTCCTATTCCCAGGAGGAGGAGGAGAAGGCGGAGTCCAGAGAGGATGGGATGGGCTTGGAGTAAGAGGAAGAGGAGGAGGAGGAGGAGGAGAGGACGAGAACGAGTATGAAAAGAGCGAGGAGCAGGATGAGGATGATGAGAAGAAGGAGGAGCAGGAGTACGAAGAGTGGGAGTAGGAGGAGGAGGAGGAGCAGCCGCTGCAGCAGCATATGACCCAGCACGCGCCACTGACGCTACGATACGCCTCTCTAAGAGGCGTCTTGGGGGCTTCTTGGATATGTTACGTCAAGCCTCTTAGGGGGGCTCTTGGTTCTTGGTTGAGGGCATTGGGGGGGGCTGCAGGGGGCCTGTTGGGTGTCTGGAGGCCGTCTTTGGCGCGATGCTTCTACCGAACTCTCCCGAGGCGTCGCGGTGGAGCCAGATAGGGACCCCCCCGAAGTGGGAGGGGTGGTCAGCGTTCTTTCAATTGTCACCCCCAGAAATCGGCCGATCTGATGTGTTCAGGCCGCAGCCCCAGGGGTCCTGATCGCTTTCTCGTAGGCACCTGCTCACCCTGGATCCATGTTTGATGGTTCCTGGGCCTTGGCATCGCTCGGACGTGTGCAGTTTTTCTCGGCGAGAACCACCGAGGACCATCCTTAGACCATCGAGCAAAAAAAAAAAGAACACGCACGAAACCGAAAAGTGCACGGGAAATGGACGTCCGAGCGACGGCGAGGGGCCCGACAAGACGCCCCAGGGGCCGAGGCCGCCCGAGGTCGCCCGTGGAAGATGCGCGCACACGGCCCACCCGCGCCCCCCCCCCAGGAGCGCCAGGCGGGGCCTCGGGAGCGGCCCTTCCGACCTGCCTCGGTGCGCCCACCACCGCCCCAAGCGGCAAGGGCTCACACGAGGGCGCGAAGTTGTTCGCGCTTCGCGGTCCTCGCTGTCCTCGCTCCTTCTCCCCCTCGTCCTCGTCCTCCTTCTCTCCCTTTGGGGGGGCGGCGCGGGAGCGCGAAGGTCTTCGCGCTTCGCGGGGCGCGGAGCGCGAAGTTGGGGGCCCTAACCCAAGCGGAGAGGTGGACTACGCGTTCGACGAGCTCGAGCGCCAGCTGAGGAGGAAGGAGCCGTGGGTCATCTGGCGCGGCGAGGGCCTCTTCGACCACCCCGACAGGGCGAACGGGTGGCCCGAGCAGGACAGGGCACCGCTGCCGCCACTCCCGCTCTGCCCCTCCCTCGCTGTCGCTCCGGTTGCTGGGCCCGTTGTCCACCACCACCACCAGAAGTTGGAGGGGGAGGGGGTCCTCCCCCCCCTCCTCCTCCTGCTCCTCCTCCTCCTCCTCTTCGTTCTCCTCCTCCTCGTCCTCCACCTCCTTCCCCCCTCCATCTTGTGGTGGTGGTGGTGGAAAACAGGCCCATCACCGCTGGATCCCCGAGAGGCCCTCGTCGCCGCCGCGGGGTTCGCTTCGAGATGCTGGCCAGAGCGCACCCCAGGAGCGATCTGGGGAGCAGCGGCAGCGGCATCGCTTGGTTCCCCCAGGTGGTGGGCGAACATCCCGTCGTGGCTGATCCCGAGGCCCGTCGAGAGGCTCTCCCTGGGGGCGGGTCCTCGCTGAGGGGCCAGGGGCGCGGCGTTGCGCGTCGAAACGCCGAGAGGGGTTCGGCTGCCAGCTCTCCGACCGTCGCTGCGCTGCCAGTCTCCGCGCCTGGATCCGCGCCTCGGTTTCGCGCTGGGCAGATCGTGCTATCGGGGCTTCGGGGCGGTCAGCGGGAGGAGGAGGAGGAGGACCAGTGTAAACCCAAGAGCCATCAGCGATGTCGGAACACACACTCCCTCCAAGCTCCCCCTTCATAGGCCCCTACAACGGTTCATTTCCACTGAGGTATCTGCCTCGCTGGAAGACAGCCGTTTCGAAGACCCGGAAGCATGCCAAAACATTGTTCTCGGGATTCCAACGCCACGGATCAACTTGACTGTTGCGTCTTGACGATATTGGGTCGTGCCAGAACGCCATTCTTGGGATATCAACACCGCGAACCAACGCAATTGTTGCACCCGCAACATCCCGAATACTTCCAAATCTCCATTTCTGGTACGCTGATCGTGGGAATCCGGGAAACTCTTGCAAATGTTGTGAACGAGTGTGCGCGGCGCCATGGCGAGAGCCACATTGTGAAAAGGAACCGCCATCAATCCGTGAAACTCTTGCAAATGTTCAAAACGAATGTGCGCGGCGCTAAGGCGAAAGCCACATTTTGAAAACGGGTGATCCTCAATTCGTGGAACTCTTGCAAATGTTTAAGACAAATGTGCGCGGCACTAATGCGACAGCCACACTTTGAAAACGTGTGATCCTCAATCCGTGATGCTCCTGCAAATGTTTAAAACACATGTGCGCGGCGCTGAGGCCAGAGCCACATTCTGAAAACCACCCGACCTCCATCTGTGAACTGTTGCCAATTTTTATGCTTCCGAATCATGAATAGTGAGGAAGTCTCAGGCGAAACGCCCGGTCCATCCTAAAAACTGGCCTCGGGGTGCGACACGGAGAATTCATTTATAAGGAAAGGAATG